CTGCTGCAAATTTCACATTTTCCCCGAGGCGTTAAAATAAAAAAAAAAACCTGCTATTTGGGTCAAGTACGAGCGCTGCCAGACTGCTGCAGTAATACTCAGCATTCCCCAGACGCTCTGTGATTGACAGGTCTGCTGTTCGGCTCCCTCGGCTGTTTAGACTCCACAGATGACTGACAGAGTGGAGCATCGCTCAACATAACGGATCTCTGCAGCCGCGCGGGGACGACTTCACAGACACTCCATCTAGTCAGAGTCCGGGACAACAAAGTAGGACATGTCCGAGTTCTCGCTCTGGGGACAGCGGCACTGTTTATGTCATTAGAGGAGGTGAGGTGATAGACGGGCGACAGGAGCGAGGGGTCAGAGGTCATACCCAGAGTGGCAACATGATGGTCGTTTTGAAGATGAAGTAGCAGCAGGTCAAGTCAACAAATCTTGAGTCTAATTCAGGTCCTAAACCCCCCGTGTTCCAGGTCAAGTCCCCGTTACCTGGGCGGTAAGAGTCACATGGTTTACCCCCAATCTCCACCCTCATCCTGATCGTCGACTAAAAGGTCGTATCCTCCGATCGTAGCTGATCGTAACCATTCAAGAATTGGCGGATCGGAGCCGTTTCAGATGGAAATTGGGGGTCAGAGTGGATTCACTATAATCTGAGTCCTGAATGAGTCCAAACCACCTGAACCAGAGTCTGGGTCCAGTTACTTGATTCAGAGTCCAAAGTGGGTCCCTATTTTACAGGTTTAAGAAGGTCGAGTCGTCGTTATCAGAGTCCACATATCTGTGTCAGATCGAACCCCCATAAATGAAGACAGGGTTCAGGTCGGCCCCCCTTTAACTGAGTCACAGTCCAAAGTGAACCCTGATGAGTCTAACTGGAGCTGGAGTCAAGTCCTGATTTTATGAATCAAAATCTGAGTCCAGTCCAGATGATCCGAGTCAGAATCAGAGTCTGAGTTCAGTCCTTATTGTCCCAGTCAGAGTCTCAGACCTGTCCCTGTTATTTTAGTCCAACTCTGAGCTGAGTCTCAGCTGTTTTAGTCCGAGTCTAAGTCAAGTCCCAAAGATCTCTGTAAGAATTTGAGGGGGGTCTGGACTATCTCAGCAGGACTTCAGCCCCAGCAGTCAGAACCACGGTTAGTTCGGATCAGAGCCTGAACTGAGACTTGTGGTCTCGAGTCTGGTCCTTTTTGGGTCACCACTTTATGAGTCTTTGGTGGTACCTGAGTTCACCTTGGATCAGGATCTTCTAGGACTGATCAAAAACTAAGAAACAGTCTTGAGGGGTGAAGACCACAGTTCTCCAACAGTTCTGGGCCGTAGAACCAAAGACTAGAGAGAGAGCTGCTAGATCAGAGTAGTATAGACAGTAGAACACCAGAAGCTGCATCCTCGGTCGGCAGCGTTAATACTGTCGTTGTAAATGAAGTAAACGTCGTTGCTGCAGCAGGCGAGAACAGACAGGAGGAGCTAAAGCTGAAGTGAAAGTAAAAGTAGGTCAACGTAGAAGAAGAAGAAGAAGAAGAAGAAGAAGAAGAAGAAGAAGGAGGTTCAGTAGTAACAGCAGGTTCAGAGCTGTAGTGATAGTTCAGGAAATCCTTCACTGACTGCAGTAGAAACAGTGTTTGAGTGGACGTCCTCTCTGGACAGAAACATCAGAACACTGAAGGGTTCATATGAGGGGACGACAGCCCGGTATCCCAGAAGGCTTTGCTCTGTAGTTCCCAGGGTTAGAAGACAGAATAGACAGGAGGATAATAGATCAGAAACACCACCTGGAGCTGCTCTCTTTCCTGTCCTGTCTCTTTAAGAAAACAAACCATCAGATCTGATTAAAGTGGTTCTGAGGACTCTGAGGGTTTGGACTGAGAGCAGCCTGGAGGTCCGGACTCTGGAGGACTTTTGGGGTTTTCACCTGTTTTCTTGATAAATGAGTTTCTGTGCTGATGTAAAGCCTCTGGACTCTGATGATGAAGAGGCTGACAGAATCAAATTAGACCTCCTCCTCCTCTTCTTCTCCTCCTTTTCCTCCTCCTCTTTCTCCTTCTCCTCCGTCTTCCTGTCCCTCTCAAGTCTTTTCCGCCTCCTTCCTTCAGGATCTTGTTTTAATAATAATAATAACACATTTTATTTGTATTGCCTTTTACTTTAAGTGATTTCAAAGGTTTTCATCTTAAAATAAATAAAATTCACAGTAAAGGAATAAAATCAGTTTATTGGTTAAAAAAACGAGAGAAACATTTTATTAAAAGAGTAAAAGTAAGATAATCGATGAGGACGGACCAAAAGACCTTTTTTAAAACTATTTTAACTAAAAGTCAATTATTTTCATCCATTATCCTGATTAAACACACTGTTATCTTGCTCATACAGTTTAGAGAAATTTACCGAGTTGAACAAGATTTAGTTTGTTCACAAAAACAACTTAAAGTCCTGAAGGTTTAATCTTGTTTCCTCAAGTTATGATCTTGATGCACAAACTGTTCTATCCATAAAGTATGATCAGACCTCTGATAACAAGAATCCTGATCAGATTAATCATTTGTTTTGTTGTTTTATATTAAACCATTTTTATCTTGTTTTAAAAACCTGGAATCTTGCTAATACAGGATATCTTGTTCCCTCAGGTTTTAATCATGTTCAAACAATAATTATATCAGTTTCACAAAAACATTGATCTTGTTTTATTACATATATTCAGGTCATACTTTGGAGTTTTAATGAATATCTTGTGCGACAGATTTAATATCTTGACAAATCATCTTATGAATATTGTGACTCCATCTTGTTTTTTTGGTCATAAGTTACAATAGTTTAAAAAAAAAAAGTCAACTAGTTAATTGACGTTACCATGTCTTGTAAGATATGATCTTGCTCACACACAGTTTTCAGCCCATCCAAAAGGTATCTTGTTTGCACATTTTTATGCCGTCTCAACAAATATTTAGAAGAAAATTAGAAAAGGACCACAAATGACCTTTTTCTGACTTTGTTATCTTGTTCGAATGATCCTGCTCACATATAGGTGATCTCTTTTAGCTAAATCAGTATCTTGTTTGCATATTTTGTCTTCTTTCAATAAGAATCAATCGTCAGCATAAAGACTTGACCCCTGAATTATCTTGTGAGCGTGTCATTAAAGTCTTTGTGTTTATAATCTGCATCATGTTTTCATTTTATCATGACTGCAGAAATGATCTTGTTCTCTGAGTTTTAGCACAAATTTATTCAAAACAGCGAGTGAATTTGTAGAAATAATCCTGTTTCGACCTGATAAACTGTTCTTTTCTTCCATAGGTATCTTGTTTGCAGGAGTTATGATTTTGTTTTCTCAAGATACTTTCCTCGCAACAAGATTTTCTGATTCTCAGAGCTCTTCGACATTTTATACAGAAGTTTCCCCGACCTCACAAATGAATATCTTGTTCACTAGAGAAATAATCTTGTTCAAACAGGATCTTTAGCTGGAGTGCACAGTGTAAAGGTTCCTGTCGTAGCCTCCGTCGTGTGATTGGACGCTCTGATGAGCGCAGGATGGCGTCTGAGCGTGTTTGATGTTGACGTGTTTGTGGTGTCTCTCAGGCAGGAGTGCGTGGCCACAGAGGAGAGTCCTCAGGTCTTCTTCTGCTGCTGTGAAGGAAACTTCTGCAACGAGAGGTTCACACACCTGCCCGACGTCACCGGACCGCGTGAGTCTGCCCTCTGATTGGACCGCAGGATGTGTGGTCGATCCGTGTGTTTTCCCAGTGTGGGTCTAATTCTGATATTTTCTGATTGTGTGTTTTTCTGTTCGGTCTCGTGTTTCAGTGATCAAAGCTCCGCCCCCCAGCGTGGGCGTGTTAAATGTGATGGTTTACTGCCTGCTGCCCGTCACCATGCTGTCGGTGGTCCTGCTCACAGCTGTGTGGATGTACCGACATCGAAAACCTCCGTACGGACACGTGGACATCGCTGAGGTGCTCACACACACACACACACACACACACACACACTTAAATATCTGTAACGTGAGGACCACATCCACGTCTGAAATCCTTTTATTTGAGGCCCCAAACGGCGGACTGCTCCTTTACAGTAAAACGTCCCTGTTGGGCAATAATTTAAGGTTAGGGAGGATCGTGTCTTTTGTTCTTCCAGTCAAGAGAGTGATGAGACAAAGACGTGAGCAAAAAGGAAGGAAGGAAGGAAGGAAGGAAGGAAGGAAGGAAGGAAGGGAGCACTGTCCTCATGTTGAAAATCTCTCTTATTTTATTTGAATCACAAAGTTAAACTCAGACACACTGTCTGCCTCTCACTACCTGTTTAAACTCGATGTTGTGGCTCCCTCTAGTGGTCGGCTGGTATCTCTGGGTTTTTAATAATAATAACAATACATTTTATTTATAAGTACCTTTCTGGGCACTCAAGGTTATTCTACAGAGTATAAACAACAAGATAAAAACGACAGAGAAAACAAAACATATATATCTATGTGTGTATAAATAAAAGAAACAAAAACATGACAGGGTACTACTGCTGGTCTTTGTCATGAGACAAAACGGTCTTTGATAAACTGTGATGGCCATTATTTTTGAATATGAAATTAAAACTGTAAGCCGAGGTTTTTAGAGCGCTGATACCCTTAAATAATCCAGTGTACAGAGGAGAAGTGGACCATAAAACTAAGTTCTTTCAGGAGGAGTTTGATGAAGAAGAAACAAACACAAAAGATAAGATAAGATGTTCCTTTAAAAGAGAAAAATGAAAAGATAAAGATACTTTGAGTTAAAATAAAGATATATAAATGCGTCATATTTACATCTGAACAGACTTGATATAATAATAGGATTTATTGCACATTGAGGTTCCTGTTGTCTTCTTTCAATCAAACTAACTCTCCAGTTTTTCGACTCTCTTCTTCCTGTGCCCGTCAGGATCCTGGACCTCCTCCGGCCTCCCCTCTGCTCGGACTGAAGCCCCTGCAGTTGCTGGAGGTGAGAGCCAGGGGGCGCTTCGGCTGCGTGTGGAAGGCCCAGATGATGAACGAATACGTGGCTGTTAAGATCTTCCCCATTCAGGTGTGCGGCGGATATTTCCTGACACTCCTCTCATGTGTTTTTCCTTCACCATCAAAAACCTGTGTAACATCTCCTCCTCTTCCTCTTCCTCCCCATCTTCGTCTTTCTCACAGAACAAGGAATCATGGGAGAACGAGAAAGACATTTTCTTGACTCCGGGTATGAGACACGAGAACATCCTGAGGTACATCGCAGCAGAGAAGCGAGGGAGTCACCTGGAGGCCGAACTGTGGCTCATCACTGAGTTCCACGAGAGGGTGAGGAAGAGGAGGGATGAAGATGGGGGGCGTCAGTAGAAGTTAGAAATGTGGTCAACATTCCGCCTCGGGAACATCGTGTTGAAATCAGTGATCATGTGACAGAGCTGTTGGATTTAAGAGCTTAGATATATAAAGTGTTGTATCGTCAGCGTAAAGATGAATTTTCAGTCTCACCTCTGATCGAATAAATCATCCTCTGGTGACTCTGACTCACTTCAGCTGTAAATAGTTCAGAGTTTATGTCTCTGACTGATGACACAGATAATTAATTCTTAGATCTTGACTGATTTTAACCCCCAGTTCCTACTCTGTCCGTTTTTAGGACATTTGTCATTTTTTCATCTTTATTTTGAGCTGACAGTCACAGTTTTTAAAAATTGGAAAATCAAATTTGGTGGGAGTTTTTATTTTTCTTCATATTAAAAAAATAAACTCTGTCACCTGTAGTTCTCCGTCGCTCCATTTTAGCTCCACCCACCCTACTTTGTCCGCAAATCGGCCAATAGACTTTCATTAAAAACAGTTTTTTTTGACCGTGTGTTTATGGCTCCATAACAACGTATTACAACCCTTTTTAAAAAAAATGAGTTTTTGGTGAAAATCATCTCTTAAAGTGATTCAGAGATGATGAAGACCAAAAACTCATTTTTGTCAAAAATGACTTAGGCCATAGGGAACCGAAGTCATGCTAACTTCCGGGTTAGCATACGGTCCTATGGAGCCCATCAAAATGAATGGACAGATATATATAACTACTGGTCCGCTTTGGTATAGGGAACCGAAGCCCCTACACATTTCACATATAATGTTTATCATGTTTAAATTTACATTTTAACCTCGAAAAAGCCGTGATTTTAGACATGTTGCTATAACTACAGTTTAATTTAGAGTGAGACCACGTAATGAACTACACCGCTCGTCGCACTATTTTTGCGTCACTGTCTAAGCTTTGACAGACGACGATGGCGGTGAAACGGCGAAAGGAACATCCTGCTGAACTATTATGGTGACATTCTGGCACAAAACACACAGGCATTTTGGCAATGATAACGAGTTGACAGGAGTTGTCAGCTAGCTCGAAGTAGAAATACTGACGTGACGTCATTTACGCGACTTCTTGAGGTCTGTAGTCTCTCCATTTACGTGTTTTCAAAGACAAATAGATCAACAATTACACAACAAACATAGCCTTTATTTACCTTAATGGTTATCATTTAAGTTAAAATACAACATATTTGTGACTCAGGGTGTAAAACAAAGCGGACCAGAAAATACCATAGACCTGTCCATTCACTCCTATTATCCCAATAGGACCTATAGCGCTAACGCGGAAGTGGGCGTGGCTTCGGTTCCCTATTCCTGTATTCCTCATTAAAAGGCGCACCATCAATGAACGCGTCTATTTGCATATTTTCATACATAAGGTGCACCGGATTATAAGGCGCATTAAGCCAAACAAAACAGTCAGTAACTCTGCAGTCCTTCCTCGGCGCCCTCATGTTGTATTTTAGAGACGTTATAAAGGCTCTGGTGTCTCCATCAGACCTGGGTTCAGTCCAGACTAAGTAAATGTCACTGCGCTGATATCACACGGTCTGTGGATGTCGGTTATTGCAGATATTCAGTCAGTCTGACTCTGGATTGTAAATATTAAACATGTTTGATATTTACAGTCCCCCAAAAAATTCAATAATTTCAGTTTTTTTATTGAATCCAGGAAGAGAAATTCATCATCTGAGCGTTTGATTTAATACCGTTCTTACTGTCTCTGCAGGGCTCTCTGTCCGACTTCCTGAAGGGTAACATCATCAGCTGGTCCGAGGTGTGTCACATCGCCGAGTCCATGGCGTGCGGCCTCGCTTACCTCCACGAAGACATCCCCAAACAGAAGGGGGAGGGACCCAAACCGGCCATAGCTCACAGGTCAGTGTGTCACAGAAAACAACTGAAGTAACGCCTACAGAGTCACAAAGCTTCACACGCTGCTTAAATTATTGAAGTGGCGGTAGATAACCACATCTGAGCAGGAAGTTTCAGCCAATCAGATTCATTTGTGATTATTCAGAACAGTTTGGTTTGTTCGGCTTCCATGTGGAAACTTCAGACTCTCACTGTTGTCTTGTTAACGTTGTTTTTATGTCTTTTTAGGGATTTTAAGAGTAAGAACATCATGCTGCGATCAGACCTCTCCGCTGTTATCGGGGACTTTGGTCTTGCCGTCCGCTTCGAGCCGGGACAACCACCAGGAGAGACCCACGGACAGGTGAGCTGCTCTGACTGACGGACTGGAGCGTGGCGAACTCTGAACTTTGCTTCACATATGTTGTGTATTTGTGTATATGTGTATATATGTGTTTGTGTAAATGTGCAGGTCGGGACGAGGCGTTACATGGCTCCAGAGGTTTTAGAGGGAGCCATCAACTTCCAGAGAGACGCCTTCCTTCGTATCGACATGTACGCCGTCGGGCTGGTCTTGTGGGAGCTGGTGTCCCGCTGCAAGGCTGTGGATGGTAACACACACACACACACACACACACACACACACACACACACAAAATACATACACACCAGCCAATAACAGCTGGTGAAAGTGTCACACAGTGAAGTTCAGGGTTAGAAAATTAGGAAGTAACGTTGTGTATTTGTGTGTATATACACATGTTTAAGTCTCATATTTTGCACACTTGTCAATTCCAGGTAGCCCCGCCCCTTCACACTGATGATGGCGCTGAGCTCAGTTTATGTAGATTAAAATAACCTGAAGACGTTCACGTTCATCTTCAGTATCGTCTGCTTCAACCCTCAGGACTCGGCCGTTAAAACTAAATGAATTATGTCATTATAATAAAGACATGAAAACACCGACCTCTGTAATTCTACTGAGACTGTCATTAAAAAAATGAGACCTTTAACTCTTTAGGAAAACTTTTAAATCAACTCAGGAGTCAGGTCAAGTTTCTCACAGACTTCTGAACAATATGACTGATTTTCACTCCCAGTGGAGTCGCCCCCTTGTGGTCATCTAACAGACTACAAGATTAAGTATGCAGCTAACATCTCTGATGGATGTTAACTTTGATTTCAGGGATTATATGGTTCTGATCGTTTTGAAAACATTAAACAGAAACTCTGTATGTGTGTGTATTTGAGACTTGTCTCTGTGCACTTGTGGGGACCAACTCCCTGAAAGCAAACCTGTCATGTGGGGACGTTCTTAAATACTTGGATAAGAAACACGTTAGTTCTCTTGTTCACTCAAATAAAACAGACAGTTGCCCTTGCAGCATTAAAAACATGCACGTGTGTGTGTATCTCAGGTCCGGTGGACGAGTACATGCTGCCGTTTGAGGAGGAGGTCGGTCAGCATCCGTCACTAGAGGACCTACAAGAAGTTGTCGTCCACAAGAAGATGAGACCGGTCTTCAAAGATCTCTGGCTCAAACACAGCGTGAGTGTTCGCGCACACACACACACAAATAAAAGCAGGACTTTTATTTTGAAAATACTAACATGGTCCTGTTCCTGCAGGGTCTGGCTCAGATCTGCGAGACGGTGGAGGAATGCTGGGACCACGACGCCGAGGCTCGACTGTCCGCCGGCTGCGTCGAGGAGAGGATCTCCCAGATCCGCCGGCTCACCACCACCATCACCCCGCCTACCTCCGACCACCACCCCCTGCTGGTCTCCACTCTGGCTCCTGTTTCCATGGTAACCAACGTGGACCTACCGCCCAAAGAGTCCAGTATATGAGGAGCGAGTCGACGAATTAAACGAACAAAAAAACTTTATTTGCAGGCCTGACGTTACCAGAGATTCTCCTCAAGTTCGGTTCTTCTTCCTGTGAAAACGACCGAATTCACTCGACACACACACTCACACACACACAGACAGACTCACACACAGATACATCATCTTTTCTCAGTGGATTTTACAAACCTAAACCAGAAATACGGCGTGAAAGCAGCTGCTATTTGACCTCTCTGGACTTGTGTTTTTTGAACTCTTCTCCTTCTTTTCGTTGATTCTTTCTTCGTCGTCCTTTCGGACAGATATTACCAGCACACGTCCTTGTTTTTTCTCAAGTTTTCCTCGAGTCATTTGTGTCTTTTTTTAACCAGGTGTTTGTGTGTGTTTTTATGAGGAAACCAAGCAAACACACAGGAAAACCCAACACTGAAACGCATTCAGGTCCCGACTCAGTGAATGCTTTTATCTCCAGGTACCTCAGCGATGACTTTCATTACTTTCGCTCATATTTTTTACATTTTCTCGGTGCATTTTTTCATCTGCTGTCCTCTTCTACTCCTCCAAATCTGGACTTTTCTACCTACCTGGATAACTTTGCAACCGCGTCAACAAGCAACCACCTACCATCAGCCTCCGGTTGGACGTTTTTTACTCCAATGCTGCAGATCCTTGTAGGAACACGATGACTGTTACAAACCAACAGCGAACTTTCAGACTTTTGTTTTTCTGCCTTCTCTTGGACGGTTTTTCTTTTCGATTATCCTCCGGAGACCACGCGCTACCGCTCACACACGACAAACCTTCGGATCCAACGGGTCGCATCCAAACAGACGAGAAACAGGAAGTGAGGTCAGAGGGAAGGACGGGGAAAACTAAAAAAAAAGAGAGGACGGCGTTTGTTAGAAGGTTTCAAGGTGTTCAACCTGAGACTGAGAGGTGTGGCGGGTTTTCAGGAACCAGCGAGAGAACGTTGTGCATGCAGAGATTTGATTGGCTGACAGCATTTTGGTTGGCTCGGGAATAAAACTTCTCAGGTAACCAGGTCTACAGGGGTTGGAGGGGTCAGGGGGAGGGGATTCGATGCGCCCCCGTGTCAGCCACAGGTTTCCATACATTCAAATTGGAAAGGGCGGGGTCAAGAGCATATGGGAGGGGCTTCTCCGAGGGTGCTCAAAGCCTATTGGCTATCCTGATTATGTAAATTTGCAAGGTGCCCAAACAAGGGGATGACCCTTAAAACGGTGCAAGACCTCGATGCATAGAGCGGTTTATGCTTTCAGGTCGGAGTGTGAATGAGTGTGTGTGCGTGTGTGTGTGTGTGTGTGTGTGTGTGTGTGAGTGTGTAAGTGGTACAATGTGAACACAACAGTCACATGATGTGACACATTTTTCTTTTTTAATTTTATACGGTTCTTTTGATTGTTTCAGGTTTTTAGTCTGGTTGTTTTTTAGCGGGGGGGTAAGTGATGGACTTCTGACCTGGACCTCCTTCAGTCTGTTACTGTTCAACATCCAAACGTCATTATCTGACTCTGCAGCTCTGCTCAGTTTGTAGGTTAGTTTTTAGTCCGTTAATCTCAGTCTTCGGTGTCTGAAGCAGCGAATAAGCGTTTACAGTTTTTCAGGAAGACTGAAAATTGGACTCTTAGTCGGGACGGGGGTAACAACAAACAAAAAAGGAATAAAGGAGCGCTCCAAAAACACCTGATCGGATTAATCTATGAGCTCCTATTGCTATTGTGATAATGTTGGTTGTCCCTTCCTACCGAGCCCTACCATGAATTGGAACCAGGAACTGGAAGTGACCCCTCTTTAGGGCTGAAACGATTCATCCAATACCTCGAGGACTTCGATTACAAAAAATGCGACTTTAGCGACTTTTCTCACTGAGGAGTAGGCAACACTGTTATTCTTGTGCAGAGCTCCAGTAGCTCATTAGCACCTAATTATTCAGCTATTAACGCTGAAAGTTAATATCATAAGTAGCTTTCTGACGAGCATTGCAATCCGCTAACGCAAACACTTGTTCCGCGATCGTCCTCTATTTCTCTGAGTCTCGCCTTCATTGCAGGGCTATAGGAAATCTAACTTTATGTGAGTCTTTGGTTTGGGTCCAGTTAATCGAGTAATCGATAGAATATTCGGTAGAATACTTGATTACTAAAATATTCGATAGCTGCAGCTCTACTCCTATTATCAAATTCTACATAACTTATTGGATTAATCTTAGACAAACAGGTGAGTTCTGTCGCTCTGTACAGGTGTCCCGAAAAGAGAAATGAGCTACAGAGACCAGAACTGTTTTTGAATCGGGCGTTCAACATGTTTATTTCTACTGTGGACATTTTAACATGGAGCTCTATGAGGAATGACTCTGTTTCAGGGACAGCCTCTAGTGGACACTTGTGGAACTTCAGTTTTTGGGACGTCTGAGGCTTATGACTGTTCTTTAAAAAAACAAATTATAGTCTGTTTTCATTTCAGTAAGACAGTTTTAAGCCCCGTTTTCATGAGTCTATAATATCTCTAAAAATTTCTAACCCTGACGGATGCGGCAGAGTCGCTCACAAATTCTCCACGTTAAAGTAATAAGGGGTCAAAGGTCATCAGTGCCCTCATCACTTACCTCTCATGTCTGTCTTTGGTTTTTCTTTCAACCAGGACCAAAACCGAGAGTCCAGTTCAGAAACTCCCTCCTTTTACGAAAAAACGCACCGATCCGAACTCTAAGCCGTGAAAACGCGGAGCGGTGTGTTTGTGTGTTTGTTTTTTATGGAGTTTTGTTCGTCTGTTTGTTGTTTCGTTGCTCTGTGATGCCATATGTATTAACATTGAATGTCTCAGATGCTGCTGCTGCTGACCGTGATGATGAAGATGATGAAGATGATGATGATGATGATGATTCAAAGATTTCTGTATATTCCTTTTTTTGATGTTCATTTGACTTCCGGTGCATTGAACACATGCAACTCTCTGTCTTTGTACGAAGTCAGTGAAGCCAGGCGAGGCGTTCGAGGAGCGTAGGGCGTTTTGGGAAAGATGAACAGATTAGGAAAAAAGAAAGAAAGAAAAGCTGGAAGAAAAAAAAAAGATGTAGAAACAATACTGCTCATAAACCACAGATCACCTCAATACACCAGAAATACCTCAGAAGACTTTTCTACGTGTTCTGTTTCTATGTTGTTAGTTTCTTTGACGACTTGTAGTCACATGATATTTTTTATTCTGTTTTTTTTTCACTCTTTAGTTTTTTGTTTTTTTTACATAAAATCTACAAACTGATTGAAGATAAAAGCTACCAGGTTACAGCGAGACTCGAACCTTCGTGTTGTAAATAGTTTCAGTGTTTTTTTTTAGACTGAATTGAACTGCCGATCTCATAAACGCACCTGGACTGAGCTGGACTAACTCTAACATCCTTTTCTCATCTCCTTTCCTTACCGACTTTTTTTGTCTCCTTTGCTCTGCTACCTCTCCTCCTTCATGTCCTCTCTCCTCTCTTCCTTACTTCCTCTTTTCGCTGCCTTTTCCGCCTTAGTCAGATCCCTCCCCCTCTCTCTTATGCCTTCCAGTTCCTTTTTCACCTCCTAGCTCAGCTTCCTTACCTTATATCCTCTCTCCTACCCTTGTTTTATGTGTTCACACACAATGAAAATAAAATAATTTGCGTGAGTCAAAATAAAGTTAGATTATTCGTGAGTTCTTAATTGGCGGATTTATGACGAAACTCGCTGCATGTGCGTCCATCGGGAGAGCTCAGAGGAATGACTTACGCCATGACGGCCAATCAGCTTAAAGATGCCCTGGTGAAGTTTGTCTGGTTGTCTGTTTACGAAGGCATCCATGTTTTTGCGAACTTTTCGGATCTTGATTAGATGTCGATGTTTCATGAAAATGGTCTGAAATACTATCAATGACTATAATTTCATGTTGAGTTTCATGGAACAACTTCTCAAGCTATCATCTTCATCCAGAGCCCACATGATTCTCGAAAACCGGGTTTTCAATAAAACCAGGTCTCGATCCCCATCCCTTACCCGGGATTTCCACCGCATCCAGAAGGGCTCCGATCCAAATGTGATCTTTGCCGTCCGTGAATTCCGACTAGATACGTTTATGAGGCGAGTCCGGAAAAAATAGAACTCTTGCGGTCAGCTGAGGAGTCCGAAGCCGGTGTAAATTGACACGTTAACTTGAATGGTTACGATCAGCTACGATCGGAGGATACGAACTTTTAGGAGACGATCAGGATGAAGGTGGAAATTGGGGGTTATACTTTTATTCTCATTCGGTGTGGACACATTCTCACCCTCCTCTTCTTCTTCTTCTTATTTTTCTGCGTCTCTGTGTGACTGAGGTTTTCGGATGTCGTCAGTGTTGTGCCTTTATTTAACTTCATCTCTGGAGCTTCCTTCTTCACTTCCCTCCTTTCCTTCCAGCGAATGTAAAGCTCCCTTAAGTCACACCGAAGTCTGTTTGGGTCCAAATACGTCCAGAATATCTGATTCAAATAAAAGAAATGATTAAATTCGCTGCCGTGGTCCGAAACGAAGCTCACCAGCCAGAGGAAATCCTGCAATAATGGGTTGGACTGAAACAGAATTCTTGATGTATTTTGGACCAGGACCAGGTGTGATCTGTATGTACGTCTTCTCAGACAAGGCTGAGCTGCCGTTTTCTGTCAGGATGCAGACTCACTCAGATCCAGGTGTTTCCAGGTGTTTTCAGGAACATATTACCTCATTCAAGCCACACAGGCAGAAACAGCGGGCTAGGAACGCGACAGAAGGGAAAACTTGGGCAATACTTCTGTTCAGGTTTGGGGATGAGAAACTCGGGCTCATTTTCACGTGCATGGATCAAAAAACCAAAATCATAAAAAGGAAAAAAGAAAACATTCGCCTGTTGGGGGGAAAGCCTTTACATCCAGCATTTAGAGATCAGAAATACTGTTAGCATTGTTAGCATCCCACAGTTAAAGCGTTCAGACAAAGGAGGGGGACCAATGAGGAGAATGCTAACAATGCTAAAGTGCTTGTTTTTAAGCTAACCCAAGTGCCAAACAGCAGACCGCTTATAGTTTAACGTTTGAACCGAATATCATAATAAACCTCCTCAGAACACAAAAGCTAGCTGTCAGTGTTAGCGTTGACTTGGCTAACAGGAGGAAATGCTTCCCTCTGAACGTCACGGTAACAGAATATCCTGGAAGTACGATGGCTTTTTGTCCCGCTCAGCATTTAAACTCGTCACCGACAGGCCGATTTCAGAGCAATGCTTCAGATTCTTCGTCCAAATAAAGTGCCTGTTTGGAGAAATCCTGAAGAGTCGGCGGGATGGTTTCGTCCGAGCGCGGAGAAATCGGCGTTGTTGTTGTTTTTGTGACAGAAGGACCCGTGTACAAATTCATGTTTTCATGGAGCTGTCATGAATGAATTACTGTTGTTTGTCCCTGATACTGCAGGAGTCACATGACTCTGTTCCTCCTGAACTAACAGGACTCTAAAGATGGCCGCCTCCTCATTACCGTAATGTACTGTGTAGCTGCTCCTGAGTCACAACACTTAAATTTGATTCTAATGGTGCTTTTGAGTTGCCTCAGAAATCAGAAGTCTGAGCTGAAAATGACGTCACACCCGAGTTACCAGCAACTTGGTAACTGAAACTAACCCGTCAAATATCCAACCTAAAACTAACTTCCCCGCCGTATTTACAGGGAAAAAAAAACATTTGTTGATTAATTTTTATGCTCACATATGACCCTAAGTACATTTTACTATTCACATCTATTTTTAGTCACAAATGCGAGTGAAACGGTCACGATCAAAATGATTTTGAACAGACGAGTCCTGACACTAAAGGATAAATACTTAAATGCTGAACTTTTTAAGGTTTAAAGTTCCTGTGAGGAACCTTTGTAGTTTGTGTCACTTTGGCGCCCCCTGTGGACAAAGATATTTTTACTGATTTTGTCCTGTAAAAGCGTAGCTGTTGTTTCTTGACAGTAAAACTCATCCTGTCGCCTTAAACAGCTGAATGAGTTTTTGCTGTTAAATATCTCCATCCCTCCGTCAGACGACATCGGTATTAAATTCTTAGTATTTTTCTTCACAGGAGCGTCAAACTCCGATAAACTCCTGTTTGTAGACGTTTAAGTGAGGCGGCCATCTTTACAGATCTCCATCCACCTCCTCTTTGAGGATGCTAACGATAAAGGCGATAACAATGGTGTGAAATGTAAACCCTGTATGTTATGTTTCACTGTCGTAGCTCAGAAACTACTGATTTAACAAACATGAAGAGAGCGTCGGGTTTTCACGACTGTAAAAAAACAACCTGTAAAAACTGACCCTGTGTTTAACCGAAGGAAGTGGGCGAAGCTGGATTTCATTCAGCTCTTTGAAATATATATAAGCTATCTATATGTTTGTGAGGCAGGCAGGAAGTGGCAACATTTAAGAAAATAAAAGCCCCATGGCCCCAGGTGCTGTCCATCCTGTGGTGAAGCTGTTCAAAGGTTCCAGTGGGTACTTTTATTTTTGTTATTTTCATTTTAAAAAGCAATGATCACTGTAACATAGATGTTTATGTTGTCCGGATAAACCCCCTTATTAGGACTTTTTTTTACGTGTGGTGGTTTGTAGAGAAAAACTGCTAGTTTTGTGTGTGTGCGTGCGTGTGTGTGTGTGTGTGTGTGTACATGTACGTGTATGTGTGCATGGGTGTGTGTTATTTGTTTGTCCTTCTCTCTCCACCCAGTGCCAGGATCATTACTGTCTGAATGAATGTAGTTCCAGTCCTCACACACACACACACACACACACACACACACACACACACACACACACACACAGAGCAAGTCAGTTACTTAAAATAAATAAAATCACTGTAGAAAAAGAAGGGTTATTACAATTGTATCTTTTTGTATATGGAAATAAACAATAAATACTGTCAAATCATTTTACACAGAAGTCTGTTGTCTTTATTTCAAACCTGTTTTTGTTTAATTAACGTGGTTTTATTTCTGTATTTACTCAAAAGTTATTCCCATTAGTTTATTTAAAAGTTTGGTTTTCAGCATCGATTTATATTTCATGGTTATTTTCACTGGTAGATGGCATGTTTGATTCAATCTATCAATCAATCAATCTATCTTACAAATTAATACTGTGTTGTATGGTTGATCCTGATTGGTCAAAACTTTAACACAAAATCAATTTACGCTGCGTTTGAGTTACCTCGAAAGTCAGAAGTCCGAGCTGAAAATGACGTGACACTGGAGTTCCCAACATTTCAGTTACCGAGTCAGAAAAAAGCAAAATCGTAGGGGGAAACAAGATGGCTACATCTACGTAGATGTAGCCATCTTGTTTTTTCCGACTTGGTAACTGAAACTTGGGTGTGATGTCATTTTCAGACAGCAGGAAACTCCAATAATCCCTCAAAGTTTAACTAGATGTTTAGATAAACAAAGGTAACACACAAAGAGGTTAAATAAGATCCCTAAGATTCAACAAGTGAGTTTAAGAAGTTTGTTTTTTGCTTTTATTTTGAAAGCGCCACCCGGAAGACGTATAGTGGCGGGAGCAGCTAGCTTGATGCTAACAGGCGTGAAGATGTCGGCTCCGGTTCGGGTCCTGAAAGGCCGGTTTTCGGCCCTCTGTCCGCTTCGTTTCCGCTCACTGACACACAGGAATCATCCGGGGAGAGTTTCGGGGAGCAGACGGAGTCTGTCACACTCACCAACAGGTACCGCTATGGAGCTAAAGCTAGTTAGCTAATGTTAGCCGAACCGAACTGTTGAATGTTTGGACTGTGGAGCGTTCAGGTGCTGCTCGGATACACTGTAAATAGTAAAATTATATGTAATTCTCTTAATTTATGGTGTGTTTTATAGATTTATGTCGTCCTATTAAAACTAAGGTGTGTCTTATTTAAATGTTCAACACTAATAGAGGCGGGTGTACTTGTAAATAAACAAAAATAATCATTCATACCCGAAAATAAGTGACGATAGCGACAGAAATAGATTCAGTTCAGGTACGTATACAAAAGTTTACAAAGTAATTTTGAAGACAACACTTTTTGTAGTCCTCCTGATTTTGCTAAATTTCAGTTCGTATCATTTTTGTCAGTATTTAAGTTATCTTTACTTGAAAATACTCGTACTGAAACTCATTCTTCCGATTATTGTTACAGCACGTGAACGCAGCCGCACACTGAAATAATTCAGGTTAAACTAAGATCTTTAAAAACGGACTTTTCCTGACATTAAAACAGTTATTTTTTAATAGTTAAGACTGAATTAGATAAGTTTTTGTGTTCTGACTCCAACTGATCCAGTTTTTCGCTGTAGTTAGTGATTTACAGTTAATAATTTATAAGAAAGAGCTTCATGATTGACCAGGTTTGCCCTCTGATCACAGAAATACATCATAAAACAAAAACATATTAAAGCTTCATAATCACTGTAATCTGGAACGAACTCAGGTTTACTTTTGTAATCTAAGTCGCTGTAACAAACTCACATTTACTTTATTGTTTCTTTGAGTTTATACAAATACAAACTGGACTGATGATGACTGATGATAGACTGATGATTTCTGCGTGTTCATGATTAATGTACAGAACTGCTGTTGGGGTGTAGGTGTCAGTGATGCTGATGAACTGAATCATGCGTCTCCAAAATCGGGTCAGAACTTCTTCTACTTGCAGAGTGTTGGCCCGGTTCTACAGATCTCAGTTTATGGAACAATCTGAACAAAGACTTCAAAGAATCCAAAGTCAAACATTAAAAAGAATAATTAAAGCCAGTATTTTAATATAAGGAAATATGTTCGTTATATCTGATTGTCATTGTAATTTTGTTGTTGTTTGAGTGACATTAACTGAACTGTAACTTGGGGACTAAATGGTAAATGACTGTCTGTGGTGGCCAGCAGCTCTATTTTTATTTATTATATATTTTTGTTGTGTTTTGTTTATGCTGTTGTTGCTTTTTTAAAATGAAATTTAATATTATTATTTTAAGTTTGTTCTTAAAATTGATTTCTGGGGATAAAGGGGCAGATAAACTAAGATTAGTCTTCTTTCCGCTCCCTTCATTCAAGACAGGAGAACATTTGTATTTTAATTAAATTCTTTCTTTTTATTTTTAAATGAAATAAAGAATAAATAAATAAATTTGCATGTTTTTAAAAGTTCTCTGCGACTTAAACGTAAAAGTCTGGACCTTAAATCTGTCCAAGAGCTCTGACGGTTCTCTCTCTCTCGCCATACAAAAGTGAAAAAGGTTAACACTGGTGCTGACTGATTCTCGGACGCGTTCATGGGTGCTCTTAAATTAAACGTCCAAAACGGGAAAACTCGTGTTCAAAAAAGGTATTTATTACATCAAAGCCAAATCAAATCATATCACTGTTATCCACCACGCCACGGTCAAAGAAAATGTGCTCCTCCCCGATCACATCTGTCCCTGGTTTCCTCCCCACGTATAACTGTGAGCTCCCCTCGTGTCACTTCCTGTTACAGCAGAAGTTTCCAAAATAAACAAACAACTCAAACATTGTAAACATAAAACAAATACTAAATCTGCTCCTACACGCCTGTTTACATCCATGGTTTTAGCGTGTTCTGTCTCTGTTTCATGTCCACAGGAGAGGAGCTTCGACCACTGGAGGGCGTCAGAGTCTTGGACATGACGAGGTAGGACCAGTTTTCAGTGTCCTGGGTTTTAGACCGGTCCAGGGTCAGAGACCACAGTTCTCTCATGTTTGTTTGGATGTTTGCAGAGTTCTCGCCGGTCCCTTTGCCACCATGATCCTGGGAGATCTGGGAGCCGAGGTCATCAAGGTGGAGAAACCAGGTGAGTGTCTTTCTACCGAACTTTGCCTCCTTTCACAGCGCATAGTGGAGTGGGAGCAGAGGATTATGGGAGCTGTTTTATGTGAGCAGGTGCAGGAGATGACACGAGAGCCTGGGGACCTCCGTTTGTCGGAGCAGAGAGCGTTTATTTCCTCAGCGTCAACCGGAACAAGAAGGTCAGTGTGTGCATCACGATTTAGAGAATCTCCTGTCTGAATATTGAAGAGTTTTCTGGATGTTACAGGAGATAAACAATTAAAGGTCCTCTCAGTGACTCTGCTGTTTTACTCTCTGATCTCAGAGCATCGCCATCGACCTGAAACATCCCAGAGGAGTGAACGTCATCCACGAGGTACGAGACAAACTTCACGATTCAAACCGAATAAAATCTGCAGAAAGAGGATTTTAATCTGGAGATTATCAGGATCTCAGGAGGAGCTCAAACTTCTGCTGCAGTCAGACGTCGTGTTTGTGTTTTTGTGTCTCCAGCTGGCAGGAGTTTGTGACGTGTTGGTGGAAAACTATCTCCCCGGGAAACTCCGAGAGATGGATTTAGGATACGAGCAGCTGAGCAGAGTCAACCCCAGACTGGTCTACTGCTCCATCTCAGGTGTGTTTCAGACCAGGTGAAAGGAGACGGGCTCACAGATCCATCACACACACGACAGGAGGGTCAGCTCTGCAGTGTGTGTCACCTGCTGTTCTCCCTCTGAGCCTGTAGATGGCGCTGTTCTCCACAGTAAAGACAAACTCTGCTCTGAATCAAAGGTTTGATTCTGAATCTCTGCAGACCTGAGTGATGATGAAGAGTTTAGATTGACTGACTCACGATGACTTTGACCTGCTCAGCTGTGAGAGTCCGTCCTCTCAGAGTCAAACACTTCAAGTTCTGCAGGATGATCCAGGTCCAGAGTTTCCTGGTTTATCCTCAGACTGAGTGTTTGTGAAGATCTTAAAGGTTTGATTCGATCCTTTAGTCGGGTGTCAGATTCACCGTCATCTGCTCAGATCCTCGGTGACTCATCAGGTGATATAAACTCACAGAGTCTTCAGCTCGGAGTCGTCTCTGTCGAACTTTCCTCAGTTCTGAAGGACCCGATAATCCACACCTTAGACCTGGACTGAGTTAGATATCCTGATCATGTTGTCGTGATATTTGATGGCCTCGATAGTCTGATAAAGGACGCGCTCTCCTACTTTTAAACCACATTCCTGCTGATTTGTTTTGAAACAGAATTAAAGTCTGAAATTCAGAAAAATGATCTAAAACCAACAAAAGACAAACATGAGGAAACAAAGAGGTTTAGGAGAACAGCTTCATTTCTCTACATCTCTGACACTCTGTCCTCGTCTCCTCCGTCCTCCTCTCTCCTCTCAGAGTTCAGAGCAGCGTGACGGTCCTGTTGATGTTTGACCGTCACGCTGACATCGATGTTTTTATGGAAGTAAAAAGTTTGAATGCTTCAGGAAACAGATCTGTGTTTCAGTCAGACGACCTGGGTTTGATCCCTGCTCTGTGTGTGTGTGTGTGTGTGTGTGTGTGTGTGTGTGTGTGTGTGTGTGTGTGTGTTTCTGTGTGCACAGGTTATGGGCAGACCGGTCCTCAGGCTCAGAGTCCGGGTTACGACTCCATCGCCTCTGCAGTCTCAGGGATGATGCACATCACGGGTCCAGAGGTCAGACTTTTCTCCTGTTTTTCTTCTTTGTGGTTTTTCTGTCCAGGTCTGCCCCCCCCCACACATTAACCTACCCTCCCATAATGCATTTCTGCGGTCTACAGGACGGAGATCCGGTGCGTCCCGGTGTCGCCATGACGGATCTGGCCACAGGTCTGTACGCACATGGAGCCATCATGGCCGCCCTGCTGCAACGACAGAAGACGGGGAGAGGAGTTCACATCGACTGTAACCTGCTGTCCTCTCAGGTGTGTGTGTGTGTGTGTGTGTGTGTGTGTGTGTGTGTGTGTTTATCTTTAAAATCTTTAAAACAGTTTAAATAAATCCAGATTTGAAAACTGTTTGTGATGAGACCAAAGAGATCAGAGCGAGGACTCCCTGGAAATAAATGAATCTATATAATGAATGTCTATGTTGATAATGTTTGTACATGATTCTATGTCATAAATATCTACATAGTTCTGAGTCTAGGTAGACATTTAGAATAAAGATAATGTATCTAGTTAATAAATGTCTAGATAAACAATGTTTGTACATAGATATTATATCTATGTCATTAATGTGTTCATAGATCTGAGTCTATATAGATATTGATTATATAGATACTGTGTCTATAAAATAAATTTCTACATAGATCTGAGTCCATAGAGATATTTTTTATAGATAATGATTCTATATAATAAATGTCTATACAAAGATAGTATATCTATCTCATAAATGTCTACATGGATCCGAGTCTTTAGTGACATTTTTTACATACATATTGTATCTATGTCGTAAATGTCTACTCAGATCAGAGTCTTTATAGACAACTATTATATAGATATTGTATCTTTGTCAGAAACGTCTACATAGATCTGAGTCTATATAGATGTTTATAACATACATATTGTATCTACATCATAAAAGTCTTCATAGATATTGTATCTACGCCATAAATGTCTTCATAGATATAGTATCTTTGTCATAAACGTCTACATAGATCTGGTATTATAGATTCCCTGGATCTTGACTCATAGATAACCGGTTTTTGGAGCGGATCAGTAAAAAGTGAAAACCCGTCTGTCGTTGGTTTGGAGGCTGTGAGGTCTCGCTCCCTGTGGTTAACTCCCACTGCTGCTACACATAAAATACCCACAATCCACCTCTCCCCCCTCTCTGTATCCCATGGTGCATTCCTGTACGGAGCGCTGCGACCACAGGCACGCCGACCGCAGAGCGGTTGGACCGGAGCGGAACAATGAGAGCACACAGCCGCGGTGGATGTGGATCCATGTGGAGCAGGTTTAGGCCGGCTCTGGTTTGGTTGTCAGGGGAAATTTAATCATTACAAACCAATCAGAGAGCGCGGCGGGCTCTCTGCACGCCGCCTGCAGGTCCTGGAACAGCTGCAAACATCAGGAGGAGCTCCACACCAAAGGCTGAGGGCTGCTGAGTCTGAACTTCAGACTGTTGTGGCGGTCGGAGGAAATGGCTCAGTCATGCGGAAAAACGCCGACGTTTGAAGATGACAAACAGTCGGAGAGCGAAGCTGCTGGGAACGTTTCTGCAGAACAAGAACAGACGGTACCGACCCGTGAAGATGGTTCTGGATCCTGCAGACTCGTCTCAGACTGAAACGACGCTCTGACTGTTTAAGTGACGAACGTTCAAACTGAGACGCTGTAATCACGTTCACGTACAGAAACACATCCTCACATGAATCCATACCAGCGTTACATTAACAGGAAGGATGTTCTGCACCTCCTCCTCCTCCTCCTCCTCCTCCTCCTCCTCCTCCACCACCTGCAGAGCATGTGTCAGGCTCTGCAGGTGGACAGATGTGAGGAGATGTTCTGATTAACGAGCCCACATGGAGATCCGATGTGGTTCAACAAGAAGACAGAATGCAGTCTGAGCGTGTGTGTGAGGACTCCAGTATCTCAGTCCTGGTCCTGGTTTAGATCATGTTAGGATGTGGACTCACAGAAACAGCTCTAGCTCTCCTTCAGGTCCTCCAGCTCTGGTTTGGACCTTTAGCAGCAGCAGCTCCTCAGAGGTGTGAAGTACCCGCAGAAGCTGCTGACATTGTGGTTGATTTTGTGACTTCAGAGCGGCCCTTCTGGCTCGTTGGTCCTCTCAACACTTCATTGGACCTGAAACAGGAGCACACAGAGCTGAGGAGAAGGTTTCGGGTTTTAGACAAAGCAGAATGAGGTGTTTCTGACGGGCTCTGCAGTAAAAACCGAGACCAGGACTCAGCGGTCGTGGAGAGTCATTTACAGGTTTTCAGCAGACTGTAAATTCAGAGACGGAGGAAGAAAGTTTCTCTTTTCCTGACAGGAGTGACGACAACTGAACACCAACCTCTCTCTCTCTCTGTCTCTCTGTCTCTCTGTCTCTCTCTCTCTCTCTCTCTCTCTCTCTCTCTCTTTCTGCCCCCCCACCCCACCCAGGTATCCTGTCTCAGCCACATCGCTGCAAACTACCTGAATGCCGGGAAGGAGGCGCAGCGCTGGGGGACGGCTCATGAGAGCATCGTACCGTACCAGGTGAAAACACGGAACCGTCCTTAAAACACACAAACACTCGCCGTCATCTCACATCAGTCCACAAAATAAAATAAAATAAATTAAATCACATAAAATAAATAAATAAATAAAATAAAAAGAAAAAAAATTATATCATAAATAAAATAAATAAGTAAAGTAAAAAAAAATAAAATAAAATAAAATTAGAAATTAAAATAAATAAAATTAGATATAAAATAAGATAAATAAATAAAGTGAAATAAAAAATATATATTTAAAATAAAATAAATAAGTAAAGTAATATAAAATAAATAGATAAATAAAATAAAATAAAATTAGAAATTAAAATAAATAAAATAAAATAAATAAAATGAAATAAGAAATTAAAATAACATAAATAAATAAATAAATAAATTGAATGATGAATGCTGATTTTCCAGCTCTAAAAGAATGAATCAGTTAACAGCAGATTTCAGTGTTAAGATGCTTATTGGCTAACGTGGATTTGAGCTTCTCGCTACACTGCCACCTACAGGTTTGATATTCTCTTGACGGCGTGTGTACATGGGTTAGTGTAAACGAAAACTCATCAGACAACGTAGAGGTGTGTATGCAGTTTTTTTTTTTAATGGAGAGGATGAAATGTCCGATTATGAAAATTAACAGACATAAATGTAAATAAATTAAGTCTAAGTCTCAGTTTTACTGTTAATAGAAAGTCAGACTGAACAGACTGACTTTATTATCCGTCTGTACTGAGTCTCAGTTTCAGTGTTAATAGTCGGTTCATCGAGGCTTCGCTCTGTTTCGTTGTCGCTCTTTGACCTTTAATGACCTTGTGAGTTTATCAAAGTTGTCAGTTTGCATAAAAAGAAAAACATCCTTCAGTTTTTAGTCTTTGTTGTTCTGAAAAGTTAAGTTTTGTCCACAAGAGGAGATTTTTTTTAAAATTAGTTCAAACTTGATTAAAACAGAAGTTTGTTTGTCGTTTTTCTTCGGTCCCGATCGTCCCTCTCTCTGCTCTGAGACTCTCTCCTCCTGTTCGGTCCGAGTGTTAACGGTGTTGAGGTGGTTTTATGGTGGTTGTTTTAATCCGGTCCCACAGTCCGTCCTCTAAGTTCTCAGAAACCCGAGCTGTGACTCTGAGATCTGCTGTCGGAGGACTCTCTGGAAACGCGCTCAGCTGTCTGACAGAAAAAGTCCTGACAGCTGACGTGAGTGTTGAGGGAAATCAAAGACAGTCAGAGAGACGATTATAAAACAATTAGAGAGCATTAGTGTCAGTCACTCTGGATGGTTTAATGCTGCTGTGAGCTGGAAGTCATTTCCTCTTCTGTTGGCGCTCATTATCTCCTCACATATCACCAGAAGAATCAACAGCGCTCTCACCAAACCTCTTTTATTTCTCTGTTTTTGTCTCACAAAGGAAACGCTCTCCCTCTCAGCCGACATGTTTTTAACTTCATGATGAAGGAGGGTAAGTGGGTTCAGGAGAGCGGAGTTCTGATCATGTGATTGATCATTTTTTAATGGTGACAGGCTGCAGGATTATCGACACGCTCAGGGTTACATGTGATTAAAATGTCTTTTTGCTGCTGCAGGGTTCATTTCTGTGAGGGTTCTGTTGGTTTGTCGATATTTTGTAGAAGCAGATTCGTCTTTGTAAACACTGAAGGACGTAAACTTGAACTCTGACAGAAAATAACTGTTTAATTTCTGAGTTTTTCTGTCGATTAAACTAAAATAAAAACATTTAAACTCATAAAGGTGAAACCGTCCTCCTGCAGCCTTTCTAATCTTTCCTGATCAAACTTTAATAACAGATTCCTCCTGAACCCGCAGCGTCTCTTTGTCGTAATGAAAACAGGTTAAAAGAGCGTCAGAGGATATTTCAGGATGAGGAGAGAGAGGCTGACAGGAAACAGGAAACCTTTTCAAAATAAAACGGCTGACCGAAGACGAGTTGATTCATGGTTCACGTCTTTTTCTCCGTCTTTGTAAATTTGAGATGATGTCGTGTCAGCAGAGGCTCGTCATGAGGATATCATCCAATCAGATTGATTATTGATGAGTCGTGTTAACAGGCTGGTGACGTCACACCTCTGCAGAACCAGAACCCGGCTCTGAGCAGAGATCACATATCCTTATGCTGATTCTAGAAGTCTAGAAGTAGATTTCCTCCTCTGGAAGGACACAATCTACTAGCTGTTCTGGATGCGGTTGAAATCCCGGGTGATTTGACGTAGAGCTTTAGCAGATCAGAGTCTGAGAAGACCTTTGAAAGATTTCTGAGGGTGAACCAGTGAATGAAGATCTATCTGGAATCAGTTTACCGGCTAAAGTGTGTCTACCTGTCCTTCAGTAGGGGGCGATATACGCCTCCTTCAAACTCCCGACGTTGGAGCCGTTTCCCAAAACAATCGACAAACACGTTAGCTTGAGTGTGTGTTGTTGGTACGATACAAAGCCTCTTACATCCTGTTGAGGTCTTATTCTCTACCCGGCCCACATGCGAACTACGGAGCATGCTCAGAAAGCCGAGGTCGATTTTAGTCAGACTGACACGTTTTTTATTAAAGAGGAACTCAAACTCAGACTGGGAAATCTACGTGTGTTCGTCCACCTCAGACTCACAAACGTCTACCTTCTTATTGTGTGTTTAGAAAATGTGTTTGTATTTTATCATTATTATTATTAGTAGTATTGTTGGTATTATTAGTATTATGTTTTTTTATTATTATTTATTACTAACTCCCCAAACATCGTCTGACTCAGGAAAACACGGTTTAGAAAACGTCTCTGCTCTCTTGAACAACATGAAGATGTTACCTGTAAAGATTTGAAGATATAAGTGTGGTTCACCAGACTGAGCAGAGGTCAAAGGTCAAAGGTGCAGGTGTTTTATTTCCTCTAAATGACCTCTGTAGTTTTCATGAGATCGACTTTAAACTGAATAAAGACATTTTTTTGTTCCGAATCTGCTTCACATTACTGTGAGCCTGAGGGGGCTGAGATGTTACTGTGTTACTATGGAGGTTCATGACTCACACACACACACACACACACACACACACACACACACACACACACTGTCAGATGTTTCCCTCCATCTGCTCGGCGTGAACACAGCGGCGGCGGCTCGACTCTTGCGGTCGCCGTCTCTCACCAGTCGGAGCGTTATTGTCCGCCGCTCAGATCTAATCCTCGTGTGAACCACTTTACCCACAATGCCGCGCTCTCCCTCCCCCCCTCGGGCCCCGGAGATGAAAGCGGGGGAGATCATGACAGTTGAAACAACAGAATTATTGGTGTTTGGCGGTCGCGGCTCGGCGAGAGAGATATTAGAGCAGAAGAAGAAGAAGTCATCTGTCCTCTCTGAAGGCTTTGAAAGTTCACGTCGGATTTCTGAGACGGTTCAATTTAGAGCGAGGAGACATCCAACATGTCAGAGAGGAGACATCCAGAGAGGAGACACATGAGGGGCTGAGTGTAGATCCACCTCGACAGTTAGACCCTCTGTTTTACTTCTACGTCAGCTGTAACAGGAAGATATCAGGAGCGTTCTGATGTTCAGGTGAAACACCTGCGCAGGTGTCATCACTCGGAGACTCTCCTGCTAAATAAGAAACTAAACATCTTTGTCATGAATGTAACCGTCCTCTCGGTTTGTTCCCTGAGTCAGAACTGATTAAACTTCATGGTCATCGAAACGTCGGTCATCTGTTATAAGGCTCAGACATGTGGCCTTACCCCCAATTTCCACCACATCCGGAACGGCGGCGAAAATCACCCCTCCCCCGATCACTCCTCTGATCCCCCTCCTCTCTCCTCAGGACCACCACAGCCTTCCTAAAGGTCATCCTGGGACTCACCCCGTCTTTCCACCACATCCGAAACAGCTCTGGATTTTCGTCATCCGCCAATTTCTATCCGATCCGTTGGTGAGGTGAATTTCGTGGCGGTTCACGGACAGCGGTAATCACGAGAACTCACAAGAAACCCGCGGATTCACTATCGCGTGATAACGAGTTGTCTCTCTAAAGACAGACACATAGACATATAAGCAGTAGATTGTGTCCTTCCAGAGGAGGAAATCTACTTCTAGACTTCTACAATCAGCATCTCCTCATCCATGGTGTCATCGGGGTGAAATGACGTCTAAAAACCTTTCACTTGTTCGTCTCCGCCCGTTTGCATGGTGTGAAATACGATCCTCCTGAAACACGGAGTGGATCCTGCGATCCGCAGAAGAACGGAGAGGAGTCGGTGTAAATTGACACGTTAACTTGAATGGTTACGATCAGCTAAGATCAGCACATAGGGCCTTTTCGTAGCCGTTCGGTGGAAACTGGGGGTTACCGTGGTAGAGGAGTTACTGTTCTGAAATTAGGCGGCGTCACACAGACAGATATCTCGTCGGTTTAGGCGTGAACTAAAACCTGGAGCTAAAAAAATCTGTCATGTCTTTATAAAAGAGGAAAACTCATTACTAATGTTTTTACTGTAACTCTAAAGCAGCAGGATGATCCTGATGAACCATGATGGTCATTTACAGATTCTGGCGTTCCTCAGGGTTCAGTTCTCGGTCCTCTACTTTTCCAGTTTAAATGGATTAAACAAACTTTTAAGTTTATTTTAAACTTTAACATCATGTTGGAAACAGAAAACATTAAATATAAAAAACAAACTCATTTCTACATCGTTCAGTTTTAGATATCAGACTTGTTAACGTGGAGTTTTAAGTCACCGAAGTGTGACACGGTTCTCAGACTCCAGGGTCGAGTCTTTAGTTTTCTTTGACACTTTTGTTTGGGGTCGACGTGGTTTGGACTCGACCTGCAGCCAGCAGGGGGCAGAAGTCCCCCCGCTGTGACCTGACTCTGCTGCCCACCGTCTCTGAGGACTGTTTGGGGTTTTGTGGTCGAATGTCCCATCGTCGTCCCTCGTGGACTGCGTTACCCACAACTCCTCGAGGCTGCGGATGAAAGGCAGAGGCGCTGAGTGCAGTGTGACTAAAGGGTTAGTGGTCTCACACACACACACACACACACACACACAGCAGTGGGATGTGGTCTCCTCTTTGTGTGTGTGTGTGTGTGTGTGTGTGTGTGTGTGTGTGTGTGTGTGTGTGTGTGTGTGTGTGTGTGTGTTGTTATGTGAGACAGCAGTTTTTCGCCTCCTTTCATGTGGTGAAGAGTTTTTATTACAGCCAATTGTGAGAGAGGGAGGAAGAGGAGGAGAAAGTGCAGAAAGAGGAAGAAGAAAATTATGGAGGGAGAGGAGAAAGATGACTCGGGGGACGGAAAAAGACAAAAGATGGAGAGGAAATGTTTCCCTCCAACAGCTGGTCTTTTACACCGCTCTCCTCAGGCGCTCATGAAACTGATTTTAAAACTCACCTGGGACTCCGAGAACAAACGCAGATGAACCGCTTCAACCTGCTACACTCAGAGGATCGTAGCTGATGTGAGCAGGTTTCATATTTACAACAACCTCACGGAGGACTGTAACAGTTCAGAGCGTCAGGTCAAGACCTCTGATAGGACGCAGTTTCTGTTTCAGGTTCTTCCTGCTGACAGAAACCAGACTGAAACCACTGAGAGACGATTTACAGAGAAACTGAGACTCTCCTCAGACTGATAGATGGTCTCCTCTCCCTGCTGATCAGTTTTACCACAGATTTAAGTTTTTGTTCAGGGTTTGAGGGGTGAGATTAGATTCGAACTCTAACCCCGAATTTTCACCCCGGAAGTGCCCAAATCTGCAGTTCCTCGAATGTCCACAGGAGGCTGGTTGCAAAAAGCACAAACAGTCACATCCATTCAAAAGGTGAATAGATAGACTTCAAATAGAGTTGTTTTCTGACTCAGCAGTTTTGAACCAGGGAACCGAAGTCATGCTAACTTCCGGGTTAGCATACGGTCCTATGGAGCCCATCAAAATGAATGGACAGATATATATAACTACTGGTCCGCTTTGGTATAGGGAACCGAAGCCCCTACACATTTCACATATAATGTTTATCATGTTTAAATTTACATTTTAACCTCGAAAAAGCCGTGATTTTAGACATGTTGCTATAACTACAGTTTAATTTAGAGTGAGACCACGTAATGAACTACACCGCTCGTCGCACTATTTTTGCGTCACTGTCTAAGCTTTGACAGACGACGATGGCGGTGAAACGGCGAAAGGAACATCCTGCTGAACTATTATGGTGACATTCTGGCACAAAACACACAGGCATTTTGGCAATGATAACGAGTTGACAGGAGTTGTCAGCTAGCTAGAAGTAGAAATACTGACGTGACGTCATTTACGCGACTTCTTGAGGTCTGTAGTCTCTCCATTTACGTGTTTTCAAAGACAAATAGATCAACAATTACACAACAAACATAGCCTTTATTTACCTTAATGGTTATCATTTAAGTTAAAATACAACATATTTGTGACTCAGGGTGTAAAACAAAGCGGACCAGAAAATACCATAGACCTGTCCATTCACTCCTATTATCCCAATAGGACCTATAGCCCTAACGCGGAAGTGGGCGTGGCTTCGGTTCCCTATTTCCAATCTGACAACAACCATCACTCAGGATCCGTTGTTCTGGATTCGCCCCAATCCAGCAGAGGGAGCTCTCATTTTTACCTGACCCTTGATTGGCCCTCTTCATGTGTCTTTCAACAGGAACAGAAACTCAAACACACTGATCTGGTTTTTATCACTGATTTAAGTCCTTGAGTCCTGAGGTGGTCTGATCCACATCCTGGTTCTGTTTCAGGGCTTCAGAACCAAAGACGGACACATCGTGGTGGCAGCGGGGAACGACAAACAGTTCGTCAAAGTCTGTCAGGTGAGTCAGGTGGATGTTTGATCACATGA